ATCCGGAAGTAATGAGTTTCCCGGAAAATTTTTCAGCTGGAAGATTTTGATAAAATATCTTCTTGTCTAAATAGAGTCAAATAACATGAAAACTAGAAAAATTACGCTTTAAAATAATGAATATAGCTATTTTTTAACGTTTGTTTACATAATAACTTTAATCACGTGGATTGATTCTTCGCGGGAAAATCCAGACTACATGTTCTGAAAAAAGCTCTCATTCGTTAAAGTTAAATCAGTTATAATATAAATGACCAATTAGAGCGTAATAAGCGTAGAAACAAAAATTTTAAAGCCAATTAACAGGAAGAACGTCTTCCATAGACTTACTATAGAGAGGTGGAGCTTCCCGGGAATATCTCTTGCTAGATAGTTTTAAAAACATATTAATACTATTAAATATTGTCGAATTAGCTAATTTAATGTCTTAAAACGTTAAATTAGTTAATTAGAGCTAAAAAAACGATTTAAAAAGCGAATTTATTGTGATTGTTTACATTTTACTTCGAAGGTTGGAGGCGGGACTTTTCGCGGCAATTTTTCCTTTCACAAGTCTCTGATTAGTTACAGTAATGTCAACAAAGACAGAAGATACCCAATAAAACTTTAGAAGGAGTTTCCCTTTGATTGTTTTCAACAACTGTCTAGTTAACTTCGAAGATTTACTGTAAATAGTAGGGGAGTGTGTTTCCCGAAATATTTATGGCCCAGGGGTGGTAACAAAACGCTTATTGGCTTAAACAAAGTCAATTGACCTACAAAAGAGCGAATCATAGCTAAAATCGCAAGAAAACTTGAATATAACGCGAATTATTCAAATTTTTTTTATTAAAATCGCGATTTCGCGGTATCAGCATCTCATTAATAATAGGTGGTCACGTGATCCTGCGATAACGCAGTCGTCGCAGCAGCAAGGTTAAGGAGCATGTTGATGATTTTTCTCCAACAAATTAGCCTGCTGGAGTTCGTGAGGAGGAAAGGCCTGTTTGCAGTATTTTTGTCAATGCGTTTAATGATTGGGCTCAGGGGGTAGTAGGTGACATCATAGAGAGGATGATTGCGAAGAATGACAGAGTTGATCAGGTTGGTGAGTTAAGGAGAGCATTCAAGGTTTTTAAGGTCACAGATCTTCCAGCCTCCCTGCTTGATGTTGTTCTTCATTATTTTTCTTTTGAGGGGCTTGTAGTCACTGTGCCATATATATTTGAATATTACTTTGTCAAGATTTTTGATTTTGCTTTTGTTCAGATTGGTGGTGTAAAGAGTATACATTATTCTTGCGATAAGGACTTTGTTTGCTACAGTAACACGTTCGGGAAGGTACAGCCAAAAGCCCAGTCCAGGGTTGCTTCTTTTATGTTTTTTATCATGTTGTTGAGGTTCTTCTTGCTGCTGTCCATGTCATACCAAACACCCAAGATCTTTGTGTTGTCCACTGTGTTGAAGCCTAGGACATCATTTTTGATGTTGCCATTGATCCCGAGAATTTTAGTTTTTTCTTCATTGATAATCATGCCGGTGAGATTGCTGAATGTGCTTATTTTTTGCAAGATTCTCTTCAGAGTGATGCTGTCGGTAATAAAGAAGTTAATATTGTTGGCATGTGCGACATATTTAGTGTTATTGCTCTGGCCAGGAATATAGAGAGGTGTGATGAGTTTGTTTTCATTGGTCATTATGAGGAGAGCTTCGATATATATAGTAAACAGGATCATAGGCATGGGCAGCCCTGTCTTACCCCAGCGTCACAGTTGATTGGGTCTGAAGTAAGATTGTTGGTGCTTATTATGGTTTTGGGTGTCTGGTATAGAGTTTTAATCTTTTTGATTTCATTATTGTTCAGGCCAAAGGCTTTTAGGATTTTCCAGAAGACCTCTCTGTTTATAGTGTCGAAAGCTTTCTTCATGTCGACAGATAGAATGGAGAGAGGGGCTTTTCTTTTGATGTAAATCTTTTTTATTAAGTTTATGAACATGATGTTATTTTGGATTGCCCTGCCTTTGATGCCCACACTTTGGGTGGGGCTGATATGGGGTTGGAGTATATTCTCTAATCTTTTAGTGATAATTATGCTGTAGATTTTATACTCCATGTTGAGCAGGGTTATTGGTCTGAAGTCCTCAACCTGTCATACTTCGTTGCTTTTTTATTGATTACTATCATTTTGCCATGATTGAAGTTGTCGTTGTAGGTGTCCCCTCGGTGTGGGTTCCTGTCCATGGTGAGGGGACCTCCCAGAGACGGTTTAGTAATTTTTCTTCACCATCCCTGGGATCTTAACGCTTACCCACGTGTTTGCCGTACGTGGTGTCCCGTATGCTGGAAAGGGGGATCTTGGTAGTTGAGGGGCAACATAACGTCCCCAACACACTGCTTTGGCCCTTGCTTCGGATAAACGGGAGGATCAAATCAGGCTCTGTTTGAGTCAATTGGCTGGTCGTTGAGTTATACTTGCCAAACTGTTTGTGGCCGCGTAGTTTTACTACACTCAGCCTGGTGCGGTGAATAAAGCACCAGTCTGAGAACCTCATATATTGGCCGTTGTTGAGGAAGTGATTGCTCACTTTGTTACCAGCTGTGATTTTTAAGGCTTTACCCTGGTCTGGCTTGGTGGTAAGCTTTTGTAGGTGGTGGTATTTCAGGAGTCTGTCCAGGGTATGTTGACAGCCTTTGATGTTGATGATGTGGTCGGCGGCGGCGATAGTAGGTATGTTGTTGTGCCCGTTGACCCACTTGATGTTAATTTGTTTCTGTAGACGTCTAGTGGCCATCCTGAGCCGGGTCCACATGGAGGTGATATCCTTCGAAGGGTTGTCAAGATCAGCTTCCATTGATCTGTCCAGGTACTGACAGATGTTGTCAGTGTTCGGCTCACGTTTAATTCTTGATGTTACGACGTCACTTAGGGCTCCCAGTGCCACCTTGGAGATGTTATCATCCCTAGAATTAAATAAGTGAACGGCGTGACTTACCTGTGCAATATCTGCTAGCAGACTGGAGGGGGTCACGTTGGCACCACCTTGTTTGTAGGCAAGGTACACAATCTCGGCGCTGGCTCATTGTGGTACGCTGTGCCAGCGTTTGACGAGCCTTTTTATGATCCTATTGATTTTGTCAAGTACTTTTTTCAGTGTAGTGCCAGTTGTTAGGCAAAAGGTGAGCCTTGGCATGATGAACGTATTAAGTGCATCAATTTTTTGCCAAGGCGAGAGGCATCTATCTTGTTCATGTCCTGTAGTACATTGTCCGTGGTGGCGGCTTTTGTGTCGCATATGGAAAACCCGGTGGGGACACCAAGATGTTTATATGCGTCGTCCTTTCTGAGTCTCGGGAGAGCTTTGTCGTTGAGCGTGAAGGTGTTGGTGCTTGATGTGTGGTCCTTTTCGAGAACGGCAAGTGTACCACATTTGGTGTGATTGAAGCTTATTCTCGCCCACTGGGCCCAGGATGCGATGGATTCTAGTTGTTTTTGTAGCCCCTTGTTGCTGTTTTTTACCAAGGCAACGTCATCGGCATACGCTGAGGCGTCGACTGACATGTTGTATCCTTTCCTGAGTGCCTGGATGCGACGAAGTGCTGGCTCCACTGTTAAGATGAATAGGAGGGGGCTGATGGGGCACCCCTGCCTAACACCCGAGAGCATTTCAATTGGCTCGGTGAGGCCCGTGCATGTGCGGACTTTGGTGGTTGTGTCGACGTATAGCTGCTGGAGTGTGGAGATGGCATCAGGATGTAGGCCATGCCATTTTAGCGATTCCCAAATGATTGTGTGTGAATATTTGTATATGTCAAAAGGGCGAGTTTTTCTATCTATATTGCTTATCTGATCATTGTTGTTTAATATTTCTGCAAAAAGTTTTCTCCATTCTTTATACTTTTTTTGTATTATCAATTAAAAATGGTTTAACTTCCTGTGTTTGTGTTATTTTTCTTGTGACGGGCCCTAAGATGTATTGCAGGATGTTGCTTAGTGGATGTTCTTGTTTCTTTATTGAATTTATCATGTTGGCTATTTGTAGAGAGGTTTCTAAATTTTTTAATTTCCAAATCCTCCAACCACCTTCTGTTGTCTTGTTTCGCATGATTTTCCTGCTTATGGGTTCAAAAGTGTTTTGCCAGATGAATTGAGATATTCTTTTTTCAATGGCTTTGATGTCATCATTTGAGAGTCTAGTGATGTACAGTACATGGTGTACATAATTTTTGCTATTAGTATTTTATTTGCAATTATTGTTCGTTCTGGTAGATAGAACCAGTTGGTACTCCATTCCTTGATTCCTTCTTCTATCTTGTGTATCCCCCTCGATGTGGGTTCCTGTCCGTGGTGAGGGGACCTCCCAGAGATGGTTTAGAAACTCCTCTTTACTATCCCTGGGATCTGAACGCCCACCCACGTGTTTGCCGTGCGTGGTGTCCCGTATGCCGGAAAGGGGGATCCTGGTAGTTGAGGGGCAACATAACGTCCCCAACACACTGCTTTGGCCCCTGCTTCGGATAAACGGGAGGCTCAAATCAGGCTCCGTTTGAGTCAATCGGCTGGTCGTTGAGTCATTCTTGACCTCGGCTTGGAGTCAACTGATCGATGCAGACCGGGTGGACACGTCAGACAAGATGTGCTCTTCTTGACTGCATTGTGAGGGTATAGCTCCTGGGAAACCCTGGTGTGACGGTCTATGGGACTCTCCCATGTGACGGCATCCCCTTGTTGGGCCCCGTGGTGGGTGGGGTCACTAGGAGCTGAATAATTATTTCTAAATATGGATTCATTAAAGAACAAACAAACAAGTACTAATGCTTCATCAAAGGAGGTTAGTTCCAACCAACCATCATATCTCATCGTGCATGCCACAGGAGAAACTCCTTTATCTAAACGTTCCCCGTTTTTGATTCAAAAACTCTTTGAATCGACCATTGGGCATCTTAAAAAAATCCAAAAGTTAAGGTCAGGAGATCTGCTAGTAGAAGCAGCCTCCCCTCAACAGTCAGAAAAACTATTAAAAATGAAATCTCTAGGAGACATACAAGTCACCATCGCACCACACACAAGTTTGAACTCATCACGTGGTGTGATATCTGAAATCGATTTGATGTCTGAGGACGAATCCGATATTCAGATCGGCCTCTCAGACCAACGTGTCACTGCTGTCCGACGAATTTCAATCCGTCGAGATGGCAAGTTGATACCAACTAAACACCTTATCCTCACCTTTGGAAAACCGTCATTGCCATCTTTTGTTACGGCAGGCAATTTACGCTGTTCAGTTCGCCCATATATTTCAAACCCACTGTGTTGCTTTAAATGCCAGCGGTTTGGACACTCACAAACATCCTGCCGAGGTAAAAGCTTATGTGCACAGTGTGGAATTGAAGGACACCAGAGTACTGAGTGCACCAGTACTCCACGCAGTGTAAACTGCAACGATGCCCATCCTGCCTACTCTCGGAAATGCCCTGCATGGCAGAGAGAGAAAGAGATTCAGTGGGTGAAAACTGTAAACAATCTATCCTATCCAGAGGCTCGACGCATAGTCAGTCCAAGTGCTCCTTTAAAACAGAAGACTTTTGCAGCTTCTTTGAAGTCTACAAAGTCATGTGGGGTTCAAACTGATATCTCTGTCTCCCCAAGCGAATCTCTTACTCACCATGCGAAATGTTTAATACTCCTGTCTAAACAAACACCAGAAAAGGAGATCACAAAAGGAAAAACACCCCTGCCTAAAACGGGTAATTACAAGAAACCTGGGTTCTAAAAAGGCTAGTAAGAACCCACTAAACAAACAGAGTGAAAGCTGCTCTCTCTAAATCTAAAAAATCAGAGGCTCAATCTATGAGTGAGTTCTCTGACTTTTCTGAAGATGAGACCAACAAGGAGGTTACAAAAGAAATGTCACCTCCAAAAGAGAAACCCCCTATTAAATTAAAGAGGGATACCCATGCAAAGAATGCTGCCTCAAACACATAATGGATTATAAAAGAATCCAATGGAACTGTCGTGGTTTTCGCAACAACTTCTCTGACATTAAACACTTGACGTCATCTACCTTGTCTCTCTGTGTGGCACTCCAGGAGACTCATCTAAAACCTGGAGAAAATATTTCTTTAAAAGGATTCGATCTTTACCGCAAGGATGATGATAGCCACAACCGTGCCAGTGGAGGTGTGGCTATTGTAGTTTCAAATCACATCCCAACCTTGCCAGTACAAACCACAACTAATTTGCAAGCCGTGGCAGCTAGAATATCTATTGGAGTAACTGTCACAGTTTGTTCTATATACTTGCCACCAGATGTCAGAGTGAATGAGAATGAATTGGATACTTTGGTTGAACAGCTACCAACACCATTTTTTTTACTGGATGACTTCAATGGTCACAATCCTATGTGGGGCAGTCTTGACATCAATCGTCGAGGCAGAGCCATCGAGAGATTTATAGGTAATCACCAACTGTACCTATTTAATACTGGAGAAGTGACATACTTCCATGCTCCATCAAGAACGTTCACTGCCATTGATCTATCATTAGCAACTCCAAATCTGTTTTCAGCATTTACATGGGAGGTTGGATGTAATCCACTCTCTAGTGACCATTTCCCAATATTTCTAAAATATCGAGGCAGAGAAAGCTGTGAAACAGCCTGTCCACCACGCTGGAAACTGGAAACGGCAGATTGGCCTGCATTCTCCTCTTTGGCTAACATCACTGAGGAAATGGTCAATACTGCTAATATCAATGACGCAGTTGAAGTTGTCACTTCTAGTATTATACAGGCAGCTGAAAAAACAATGGGGAAAACATCAACCAGATATTCAAAGCATCCGAAACCATGGTGGAATCAGAATTGCGAGGCAGCATTTAAAGCACAAAAGAAAGCATGGGGAATTTTTAGAAGATACCCTAGTGCTGAATATTTGACTGCTTTTAAAAAAGCAAAGGCAAATGCCAGAAGAGTTAGAAGGCAAAGCCAAAGGGATTCTTGGAGGAAGTATGTTTCTAGTATAACATCATCTACTAGCTCAAAAGCAGTCTGGGATAAAATCCATAAAATCAATGGGAAATATACTTCTTATTCTCTGTCCATGCTAGAAAATAATGGCACAATAGTCAGCGATATACAGGGTATTGTCGATTTATTGGGAGAAACATTTTCGTCTTCATCCAGTAATATTATGTATCCAAGAAATTTTCAGGCTTATAAAGCCCAAAGCGAAAAACAATATTTAAATTTCCATTCTTCATCTAATGAGGAATATAATGTGCCATTCACTAACATAGAACTACATACAGCGATCTCTCGCTCGGGGAATAGTGCTGTAGGCCCGGATAAAATCCACTACAGCATGATTAAAAATCTGTCAAACAATTCCCTTTGTAATCTTCTAAATCTGTTTAACAGAATATGGACAGAACATACTTTTCCTGACTCTTGGAGGCTATCGATCATTATTCCCATTCCGAAGCCTGGTAAAGACCACAAGAATCCCTCAAATTATAGACCAATCTCTCTGACAAGTTGTCTCTGTAAACTCTTTGAGAGGATGGTAAACAGACGTCTGATGTATCTCTTAGAGAAAAATGAATACTTTTCACCACATCAGAGTGGTTTTCGTAGGAACAGAAGTACCACTGATAACTTAGTAAACCTTGAAACATCTATACGCGAAGCGTTTGTTAGACGACAACACTTAGTGTCTGTGTTTTTTGATATAGAGAAGGCCTATGATCGCTGTTGGCGATATGGGATACTCCGTGATCTGGACCATTTCGGATTTCGGGGTAATTTGCCAATTTTCATAAAAAACTTCTTAGAGAATCGAAGATTCCAAGTCAGGATGGGCAACACTTTATCTAGGCCTTTCACGCAACAAGAAGGTGTTCCTCAAGGCTCTATTTTGAGTGTGACTCTGTTCCTAATTAAAATTAATAGCATAGCTAACTGTCTTCCCCCTAGTGTGAAACACTCTTTGTATGTGGATGACTTTCAGATCTCCTGCCAGTCTAGCAACATGAGTTTTATCGAGAGACAACTACAAACCTCCTTAAATCGCATAGACCATTGGTCCAAGACTAATGGTTTTAGTTTTAACACGGAAAAGACCTCGTGCATCCACTTTTGTCGAAGGCGTGGTTTGCATTTGGATCCGGAAATTTACCTAAACGGGGATAAAATCCCAATGGTGAATGAGACTAAGTTTTTGGGTGTTTCTTTCGATAATAAACTGACATTTTTGCCACACTTGCGCAACCTGAAGAGTAGATGTTTAAAATCTTTAAACCTTTTAAAGGTACTATGCTGCTCATCCTGGGGAGCAGACAAAGTTTCGATGCTCAGGATTTATAGGGCCCTTGTTCGCTCTAAGCTGGACTACGGTTGCATTGTTTATGGCTCTGCGCGAGAATCTACTCTTCGGATGCTGGATCCAATCCACCATCAAGCTTTGCGTTAGTGCACCGGTGCATTTCGAACTTCCCCTGTTCAAAGTTTGTATGTGGATGCCTATGAGCCTTCACTATCTCTCAGGAGAGAACAGTTGTCTCTCTTTTATTACATTAAACAAAAATCTCAGAAAAAAATTACAGCTGATTGTCCAGATACTCAGCTGAAAAGATTGTTTGTTGCTCGGACGAGTTGTGTCTTTACATTCGACATAAGAATGGAGAATGTAAGCAGCACGATTGACCTAGACACAAGCAACATCTCACATGTTCAGGTTAATAGTATTACACCTTGGTCATCTTCACCGATCGATGTTGATTTAAGCTTAAAGCAGTTCCCTAAAGAAACCACGCCAGACTACGTCTATAGACAGCACTTTGCGAAATTCAGCATAGTAACAGGAATTTAATTCCTATATACACCGATGGATCTAAGCCGGATAACTATGTCGGCTTAGCCTTTGTTTGCCAGGATGAAATTGTGGCAGAACAAATACCACCGAATTCTTCCATCTTTACTGCGGAGTTGCAGGCTATTTATTTAGCCTTAAAGCATATAAATCGGAAAGGTCATCGTTGCTGCGTGATTTACACTGACTCAGTTAGTGCACTTCAGGCTTTGATCTCGTATGAACCTAGTTCTCACTGTCTAGTTATTAAAATTTAGAAACTAATCTGTCATCTCACTACAAGAAATTTATTTGTGAAGTTTTGTTGGGTCCCAGGCCACGTGGGTATAAGAGGTAATGAAGAAGCTGATACAGCTGCTAAGTCAGCAAGCCCTTCACAGCATACAATGCTTATTGAAGGAGGTGATTTGAAGCTAGTTGTTAAAAAACGACTAGCAGAGAGATGCCAAATCATGTGGAATGCACAAATCCACAATAAACTTTACGAGATCAAACCTTTGGTAGAAAATTGGACACATAATAGGCAATATGATAGGAGATCTGAGGTTATTTTTACTCGTTTGAGAATTGGACACACTTGACTGACTCATCAATACTTTTTGAAGGGAGATGACGAACCAGTATGTCAGCACTGCAACTGTGCTGTAAGTGTTAAACACATATTTTGCAACTGTAGCTTTTGATCAGAGTAGTAGACAGCATTTTGGAAATGCAAGCCTTAGAGACATTTTGGGCCAGAGGCCAAATCTGGAGAATGTAGTGGACTTTCTAAAAGTCATTAATATGTATAGGGAAATCTGATGAATTAATTATTGTACAGTTTTATTTACGTTGAGTTGCATATATTAATTATTGTATGTATATTTTGTTGTTGTTTGTTTATTTATTTTTGTTGTTGCTTATTTATTTATTTCTGTTGTTTCTTATTTATTCATTATATTTGAGATTTTATATTTATATTTCGATTGGCTGTTTAATGGTTAAACTGTGATGTTTCGTTTATGTGTATATATGTCTTCCTAATAATTTTCTATTTCGAATTGTATTATGTGTTGTGGCGCAGTATAGCCTGCATGGCTTTTGTGCCAATAAAAGTAAACCAACTAACCAACCGATTTGTAGTACCGAGGCATAGGGTAGCCTGAGATACTGAAGTCCCTTTGTATCTCACCCAAAAGGGTATTGATACTAAGGGAGAAGAGGAACATAGAGAGAGGACATCCCTGTCTGACACCCTTCCCAAGCGGAAAGGGGTCTGAGAGATGGCCATTGATACTAATGCGGCAATGAGCCTTGTGATACATAATTTTGATAGCCAAAAGTACCTCGTCAGATACACCATATTTTTTGAGAACGTGCCAAACAAAGCCGTGATCAACACGGTCAAATGCTTTCGATTGATCAATCGAAAGCAGAGCCAGTGGCCATTTCCTGTTTGAGCAGTACTCACTAAGAAGCCTAATGAAACTAAGATTATCTAAAATACACCTATTAGGAATACCTCCTGTTTGGGTACTAACAATGCACGGGGTAAGGGCGGAACCAATTTTGTTATAAATAATGCGCGCGTAGACCTTGTAGTCTACGTTGGTAAGCGTTAAAGGCTGAAAATCGTGAACAGTTGTGCAGTTTTCAACCTTGGGTAGAACAGAGAGCTGACCCAGGTTAAATTTTGAAATACTAGGGTCTTAAGGGGATAGAGAGTTATAAACCATTGGGAGGAGGGAGGACAATTTATCTGAAAAAACTTTATAAAACTCGGCTGGCAAGTTATCAGGACCAGGAGATCTGCCAGCACCCATAGCTGAAATGACAGATTTCACTGAATCCTGTGAAAACAGGTGTGGGAAAGGATGAAGAGAAGCAGTAGGTATTGCTCTAGTCATGTCTTCCCATTGGGATGAGTCGACACGAGTAGGAGCGAAGAACTGGGAAAAGTGCCGAAAGAAAACCTGGGTAATCTCTTGGTCATCGGAAGTTAAAGTGCCATCGTGCATTAAGATGGAGGAGACATTAGATTTAGATTTATCATTTTGATAACGGCCGAAAAATTTCGAGTCGAAGCGCCTCGGGGTGTTCAGTTGGGAAACTTTATACCCTTCATAGGCGTGTTCGAATCTACTGGTTAAAAGGGCAGAGATGCTGGCAGAAGCCTGCTCGATGAGACCTTTAGTGTACCCAGATTTGTCATNTTTCGATAACGGCCGAAAAATTTCGAGTCGAAGCGCCTCGGGGTGTTCAGTTGGGAAACTTTATACCCTTCATAGGCGTGTTCGAATCTACTGGTTAGAAGGGCAGAGATGCTGGCAGAAGCCTGCTCGATGAGACCTTTAGTGTACCCAGATTTGTCATTACAGCAGCGACAGTCAGTTAGGAAGCGTTGAAGAATCCGCAGTCGACAGTGTCTCTTGCGGCGAAGGCGCCTATCGGTTGAGCGGGCAAGTTGTAATATCTCCTTCTTGCACCGACACCAATCCTCAAGGCTGACAGCGGATAGTGAAAGCATGCTGGTTAGTAGCTTGTCTACTTGAGACAAAAAATCCTCATCCCTAAGGATCTCAGGGGTGAGGTGGAAACGGTTACGTTTCGAAGAACAGGACAGGGTGAAAGTTGCCATTACCAGGGAGTGGTCCGAAAACCGATTGCCCTGGAAATGGAGAGGTATGACAGAAAAGTCTGAAGCAGAAGATGGGATGTTAGAGTACATCCTATCCAACCTTGATTTTATAGAGTCGTTAGCATTGGACCAAGTAAAGAGAGAGTTGCCGGGTAAAACAGCAAGCTGCACATCTTTAAGGGAAAAATTACACAAGAGGTCTTCTAGCTTATTCCTAGTATAATCAGGGGACCAGCTACCACCTTCCTTATCCTCAGGACGGAGGATCACGTTCCAATCCCCAATGATAAATATGTCCCTATTGGTAGCTAAGTAGCTACCAAGAATTTGGAAAAATTCCGAACGTAAGCTAGGCCTCGTGGGGCCATAAATACAAACAACCCTAGCAGTTTTTTTGTTTTTTACAATATCCAAAGAAACTATCCGTTTGTCGCTATCAGTGACGAACTGTTGGACCGTGATACTGGAGGAGACGAGGAGTGCAACTCCTCCGCTCCTACCCCTGGAGAAGCTATGATAACTATTATAGCCCCTTATTTTTGGCCTAAAATTCCTAACTCTTCGCATGTTTTCAAAATACGTTTCTTGCAAAGCTAGAATATCTAGCTGAAGGGAGGACAATAGGGAAGCAACAAAAAGTTGGCGGGGGATGGACCGAAGCCCGTTACAATTAAGGGAGCCTAAACGTATTTTAAAAGACATGTTGAAGTTAGGGGGTTAGTACTCCTCCGTACTTGGGTCGGAGGACTTTCCAGCCCTGGCCTTCTTATTTTTACGCCTACGACGGCAGGCCCTTTTACTGGGCCTGCCTTCCCTCCCAGGTCCGGATCCCGCAGCAGCGGACTCGTCGCTACTGCTTTCACCTTCACTCCCTTTACGACTAGACTTACTTCTAGTCCTTATGCTACTTACTGACCGCTCCTTACTTCCTAACTTGGAGCGATCCTCCTTTAACTTATCAACTATCTTACTACTACTACCAGTTTCCACAGACGGAGCTGGGACTGGAGCTGTACCTTCGACGACCGTGGGTGCAGCTTGGGCCTTTGGCAGTTCGATGGGAGGAGAGACGGAGGTAGAGGTATCCATGGACACCTCCACCTCAATGTTGTCGGAAGCAGCAGCTTCCTCAACGGAACCCTTAGCACTACAGGACAGTATACTATGGTCCCCCGTGCAGACTCAGCACGGCTTCGGACAATTTTTCGCCCCATGAAACCTGCTATGACAGTTTTCGCAGAGGCTAGCCTTGCAGTCCCGCTGCTCGTGACCCGGCTCTAGGCAGCGCCTACAGATGCGCTCAACTCCACGGTAACCTAGGGTCAGGGGCACACCCTCATAATAAACTATATTGGGGATCGTTTTTTTAACCTCAATACAGATTTTAACTGTTCCTGTGTCGATGTGCGGGCGGCCCGGGACCTTAAGCATCGACACAGACCTAACTACACCGAATTGGCCCATCAACAGGCGGACAGCCTTTAGGTCCATTTCGGGGGGCAAGAACCTGATGAAGACAGTAGTGATGTCTTCATCAAGTGGGACAGGGAAAACCCTAACGTCCCGAACCACAAAACCAGTGGATACTAAAAGGCGGCAACTTTCCGTCGACCGAAAGCCTATAAAAAACCGGTCTTTGCGCATAGGCGCAAATTGGGAAACTTCCCCAGGCGTAAGGGTGCGCTCAATGCTGTCCAAGACTTCGTTAACGGTTGAACCTTCAGGGACGGAGACATGGGCACTAAGCACCCTTCGCATCCTGCCGTTGAGGACGGCAGGTTTTGCACATTTATGCTGTGCTAAAACACCTGCATTTAACTGCTCGGTGTTGAAAAACTTGTTTGTGTGAGCAGACACAGTGGCTGCTGGAGCCCAACGTGCTGCTACTTTAGCAAAAGTAGACTTCTGGGGCACAGAGGGCCCAGAAGCGGACGAAGGTACAGACATAATGGGAGCGGTCCCACTAGCTACTTTGCTAAAGCTGGCCTTAGGGGCCAGGCTAGCTGTCTTTTCGACAGCAGCCACCTGACTCGCCGACCCAGACTGAGCGGCAGAAGCTTTGGAAGACTTCATGCCGACCAGCCTGACCCCCTTGAAGGTGGGCTGCTCAACGGTACGAACGTGACCGGAGACAGGCCCAGGGGCAGGTTGGCTAGGCTTACGGCTAACCTTACCTACGCTAACTATAGTAGGCTTAACTAACGAGGAGGAAGCTACACTAGCCTCAACTACCATATTTTGGACTGAACCCTCGGTTGGAGTAGTGTCCTCCATTGGGACACTATCCGCCCAAGCGGCCGAAGAAATACCCTTTATGGGTAAAGAAGAAAAAGTAGTGAAAAAGTCCCTACTGTATAGATGGGGCCAACCGTGGGGATATTGGCCTGGATTTCCCCACGAATACGCTAGAATGCGCAGGCAGGTTCCTCCAGTGCAAAAAGAAAACTTTTCTCCTTTTGGTTAAAGCCCAGTCGCTAAAGGGACCTGGACTTCCTCTTTTAGTAAGGAAACCTTACCAAAAGGCGCCTCCTTGGTTATACAAAACCAAAAAGGCTAACCGCAGATACGCCGACTTGGGTGCCCAAAAACACCCAAAAACAGACTTAGTAGGCTTAGAAACCAACTATCCGATCTTAGCCAAAGAAGGCCGAGAAGCGATAAAAAACACATCAAAGGTGCCGACAGGCCAAGTGTGGAGACATACAAAACACCTGCGGTGTGTCCAGGTTACGTCGATCGGCAAATATCCGTTAAAACACACGAAAGAACATCAGGAAACGATAGGTGACGATGCAAAAGGCTACAGGAAATGTCACGTATTGCATGGGTATTGCCTGTCAACGGCATAAAACTCCTGTTGGTCACCAATCATCACTGGAGGAAATTATGCCGCAGCCCGTACCCGCGTTGCGTTGGTGGAATACTCATAGCATTTCGATGCTAAATATTTTTTCGCTAGCAAACTACATTAGAAATTTCAGTATGTAACGTAGAATATTTGCCGATTCGATATTACAATATATTGCATGCAATAATTTTGAAACAATTCGCTTTTGTCCGTTATTTTAGAAAAATGTCGCACTCGTTCCATACTCCTATGTAAAGAGTGAGGCTTACCTTTCCTGGGCTGCCTGGGCCTTCTACGTGCAGGCCATGCATGTTGTCCACAGTAGTCACACTCTGAAAAAATTGCACATTTCATTTTTCTTCAATAACTTCGAATCGCCGATTAGCGATTTTGACCAAAAGCACGGGAACGTCTTTCTCGCATCGCTCAGATTCATCGTAGCGTACCGGAAGTATGCGGCGATGGCGGTTTATCGCCATCCGCATTTTCTCTTACCTTTTCTTCTGCAATTCGCCACATTTCTTTTTCCTGCTAATCCTTGCTTGGAGAATGTCTTGCAATTACTGTAATCGCTCCTCTGGCATCTTCCGTGAATGACAACCAACTGGAAAAAGAAAAAAAATTTTTTTCTTCAATAATTAATTTCTCTATCTTTTATTATTTATTTCCCCCCAAAGGGGGGTGGGCTATCTCTGGCAATAAGTGCCAGGCCAGAGCAACCCGCGGCGGGGAGGGAGCAAGCCCCCTTTCCCGCCCCGTTCCAAAAATCAGGTTAATATCGAAGGTCTCCGATGGAAACCGTATCAGATATCAAGCTGATAAGATCAGATTTCAAAAGCCTTTATTTATATCAAAAATTAAAATATGTTACAGGTTGAATATAGGCAAAGATGATGAATATACGTTGTGGAGGTACACAACGATACGTGTAGCGCGACAAAAGTAATATTATGTACAGGTATAGAATAGGAACATGGGCACAGTTGCCAGCCAGTCAAGTATACAATGTTTAGAGAAGTAGAGACACGTGGGCGTGTTAGGTGCCGACACGTACAACAAGGTAAAGTGAATCGCGGACATGGGTGCGTTGCCAGCCAGAGAACACAAAGAGAGTAAAGCGCGGTTACATGGGCTCAAAAGTGCCTGCCACGCGAAGGTACAGAGGTGGAGTTTGAACGTTGTAGTTGCAGCTGTACTTGCTGTGGTGGTTGATGCGACCGGTCTCCCAGGTGTTGCCTGTAGATGTTGTTGCTCCACCGTATCGCATCACTCACCATTAGCCGTTTCATCATGGCTGCATAGCGTCTGCTAATGCCCAAACGCTGGAGGGTGGCTTCGTTCGATGGATCGTACCCTCCAAGCGCGCCAATGATGAATGTGCCGAAAAAGGTATCGTAGTTCTTGTTCCGGAAGTGGCTGACGAGATTGCTGTACTTACGCTCCTTTTCTTCACGCGCCGCTTCGAATGCTGGTAGTCCATTTTCAAAGGGTGTCGTGACATCCACGATGGTGGCGGATTTGGAGGCCTCGTGGAGCACGACAAGGTCCGGGCGACAGTTCTCCTCAAAGCCTGGGACGCGTTGGTTGATAAGGATTGTGGCGTCTTTCGGCTGGATGGCGTTTACAAGTCTGTTTAAGACGGCATTATGTCTATGTGTAATCAGCCTAAAGTTAGGCGGACAGTGACATAGAACATGCGATAGGGTCTCACGGACGAAGCCACAACGGCGGCAAGCTTTGGTTTCGTTGCCGAAACGCTTGTGGCCACGTAGGGCAACGACGCTCAGTCTGGCGCGATGAATAAAGCGCCAGTCTGAGAAGCGAGTGTAGTTTCCGTTGTTCAGGAAATGATTACTTACCTCGCTTCTGGCCGTAATCTTAAAGGCCTTGCCCTGGTCCGGTTTTGCAGTCAGACGCTGTAGGTAGTGGAACTTTAGGAGGCGGTCTAGTGTGTGCCGACAGCCCTTCAAGCGGATGGCGTTATTTTCAAAGGCGATGGTGGGGGTGTTGTCGGGGCCTTCGATCCAATTGATGTCTATCCGTTTGCGCAGTCTCCTCGTTGCCATTCTGAGCCGGGTCCACATCGATGTAATATCTTTCGACGGATTGCCGAGGTCTCCCTCCATGGACCCGTTCAGGTATTGGCAGATGTCGCTGGTGCTGGGCTGGCGCTATATGCGGGATGAGACCACGTCGTGCAGGGCACCTAGAGCTACTTTGATGATGTCCTCGTCACGGGAGCTGAAGAGGTGCACAGCATGGGATATCTGGGCGATGTCAGCCAGATGACTAGAAGGGGTGACATTTGCACCTCCTTGTTTGTATGAGAGGAACACTATTTCATTGCTGGCTCGTTGGGGTACACTAAGCCACCTTTTAACGTGGCGTGTGATGGTTCTGTCGATGCGGTCGAGCGTTTTCTTGGGGGCAGTACCCGTGGTGAGGCAGAAGGTGAGTCTTGGCATGATAAAGGTGTTCAAGGCGTCTACCTTCTGCCACGGCGCCAGATGAGATGAGTCGATTTTAGTTATGTCGTTGATTACGCTATCGGTGGTTGCCGCTTCGGTATCACATTTTGAGAATCTTGTAGGAACGCCCAGGTGTCTGTAGGCATCATCGTTTCCCAACTTTGGTAAGTCTTTCTGGTAAAGAGAAAAGGTGTTATTTCCAGAGGTATGAGACTTACCTAGTACCGAAAGCGTTCCACATTTGGAATTGTTGAATTTAATTCCGGCCCATTTTGCCCATTCTTCGATCGAGTCCAGTTGCTCTTGTAGTCCGCTGCTACTGCTGCTCACAAGGGCGACATCGTCGGCGTAAGCGAGAGCATCCACGGTGATATTATGGAAGTTGTAGCCTTTGCCCAGGGACCGGAGGCGGCGTAGAGCTGGTTCGACAGTTAGAATGAAGAGGAGGGGGCTGATGGGGCACCCCTGATGGACGCCGGATAGCATTGCAACCGGTTCTGTGTACCCGGTGCAAGTCCGGATCCTAGTAGTAGAGCCAGTGTAGAGTTGTTGAATGGTGGTAATGGCGTCGGGGTGCAACCCATGCCACTTTAGGGATTCCCAGATAACGCCATGTGGAATGCTACCAAAAGCATTGGCGATGTCAAGCCAAGCAATGAAGCATTCCCTTCGGGTGCGTCGTGCGTCTTGAATAATGGATTTAAGGACAAAATTATGTTCGACGCATCCCTGATAGTGCAGGAAGCCCTTCTGCGCTGTTGAAAGTCTGTTGTTGGCCTCACACCACTTGAGGAGCCTATCCGCCAGACAGGCTGTATATAATTTCCCCAGGGTGTTAGAGAGGCATATGGGCCTCCAGTTACGTAGGTCGGTGAGGTCGCCCTTCTTATGGATGAGGACAGTAGTAGACTCTCGCCAATCGTGCGGGACATGCCCTATCCGTTGGACCGCATTGAAGATGGCAGACAGGATGATGCCGCTGGGGTCAACTCTCCTCCAGTGTAGATAGCGGATCTTGTCTGGGCCGGGGGCGGTGTTGTGGCCCTTGGCTATGCGGTTGGCGACTTCCTCAGGTGTAAATCCGACGTTGATAGGGTCCCTGGTGGCGGGGGCAGGATCAGGTGCAGCAGGAACAGGCGTGGAGCAGACATGTGGCTGTGCTTCATTGATGTTCCTAAAGTGGTTGTGGATACTTATTGCGTCAATTTGGCAGAAACGAGAGTCTCCACCAACGATACGGTCAAACGCCCGCTTTCTGTTGGTTCGATAAAGTCTCTGGATTATGCTAGCCTCGAGCTGACTTGGAGGGTTGTGACTATGTGCGTTGTTCCGGCCCCGTCTCGGGCCTTGTATGTCACAGATATCGTACGTAAGTCGTATGAACTCCATTAGGATGTGCTCGAACATGTCTTCGTCGACGGCGCTATTGAAGCGTTCTGCCCATGCAAGAACCCATTGTGGTGGGCCGTTGTCTAGATCGGAGGGTGGCTGCGATGGAGGTGGCGGTTGCTGCGGGACGAGGGGTGGCACACGTGGACTGGGGACACATGGTGGCACTGTTGCGGCAGCATGGTCTTCTGCGGTTGGTGGTAGGCCTTCAAAAGAGATAGAGTCAGGGGAGGTCCTACCTGGTGGTGTCGTGGGTTCGCTTCTGGGCCTGGGAGTTGCCGGATGGTCGGAGTTGGCTGGACTAGGATGGTTGAGGTCGCCGGGCGAGGGTGTCGTCGGGTTTAGTCGCTTGGAGCGCCTACGTCTCCTGGGTGACTTCTCAGTCGTGGTGGCCAGTGGCAGCGGCTCCTCGGTGGTAATGCACTGTGTGGTAGTGCCGGTGGTCTGGTTGCAAGGCGATGGTACAGCTGACTCACTGGGGGTAGCGGTATTCTGCGTCAGTTGTTCACCTTCAGGGATGGTGCGCAGTGATCTCGTGGTCCTCCTAATGCGGGATGTAGTCGGCCTGGTGGACGGGGATGGAGTCGTGGACTGCCATGAAGAGTCGCTGCTGTCGGTCGGAGAAGCCGGGGTCCGGGGCTTCCTACGAACGTAGGGCTTCCTAGGCCTTGTCGGGATACAGACCTTTTTACGATCCGCCGGAAGTGGGGACGGAGGAGAGCATGCCTCTATCCTAGTGCGGCAGTCATCAGCCTTTAGTTGGTGGGCCTTGATCACCTTAAGCTTATCGTGACAATAGCCACAGGCCCGGCACTCGAACCTAACGGTGGTGCCATGGACGTGCTTAAGGTGTTTCACAAGGCCGGCATGATCCGCATAGTCGCGGGGTATCGGCAGGCATAACTGACACCCGTGTGGTGGGTGTAGTGGGACAAGAACGGTCAGTTCTGTCATACTGGCAATGATCAAATGTGTGAATCGACCGAGAGAAGGATAGCAAGTGAAGTGCCCCCTGGGGTGCAGAGCAGCCAACCAAGAAGGGGCAGGAAGGGGAAGAGAAGAGGTGTCCTAGGTGAAGCACCACGGGTCCCACGAGTGAGAGCCACGGGGTGTCCAAGTGGAGCACCGGGAAAGCAACCAACCTAAGCTGGTAGCGATAGACGAAAGTGTTGCCAGTCAAGCAGCGAATACACGGTGCGTTTAAACCGTGCAGGCCGCTCTTCTGGCGGAAGGGAGAAGAGTATTAGGAAAGGAAACCAAAAATAAAAGTATACTTACCCAGAGGACTGGGGAGCAATGTGTGTCTCGAAATCCAGGTCTGGAGCTTGTTTTACTGAGGAACCATCAAGCTGATAAGAACAGATACTAAAACATTTATTAAAGTTTGAAAGTCACATATCGCTGTTTAGCGTACTGAGATTCACAATTATTTTATACAAATCTTGTGCCCGACAATTAAATTTAACTGTTTACATTGCACTTAGCGACATCTGTTTGTAATTGATTAGTTGACATAGCACATAGCGACATATATATTTGTTAGTATGAACATAGCTTTTAAACCCGACATTATATTTTTACATTAACAGACTTGTTGTTTAACACCCGACAATATTTAACTTTTTACTATGCACTCATCAACTCATGTTTGAATTGTTAATTTACATAGCACATTGTGACATATAAACATAAGTTTTAAACCCGACAATATATCATAACACTATATTTTTACGTTAACAAACTTGTTGTTTAACATTCGACAATATTTTACTTTTTATATTGCACTTAGTAACGTCTGTTTGTTAGTTCACATAGCACAACGCGACATATATATTTGTTAGTATGAACATAAGTTTTAGCCCGACAATATATCATAACCCTATATTTTTACATTATCAAACTTGTTGTTTGACACCCGACAATGTTTGTTGAATTGTGTTCACCATTCGTCGTTAAATAAAATTTTGTCATTGTCCTCTTTCCATATTATATTTTTTGTCCCTTTGTATAGATTGTTGAAGTCATGTGGAAGTAATTTTTCTATGTCAATTTTTATTTTCAGTTTAGCTTCTTCTCTTATTTTAGTCACTATTAATGTTGCATTCCATCTTTTTCTTTCATATGTTAGGACACATCTCTGTTTCCATAAAGTTCTTTTAACAAGTCCTATTGTCCAATTCAGCATATATCTGTTTTGGTTTCTTATTGTGAAGTTCATGTGATATTTTATATTGTCCCAATTGATTTTTATCTTCCAAATTTTATTTATCCATGCCCATACTTGTTTGGCAATGTTGCATTCATAAAAGAGATGTTCTATTGTTTCACTTTGACCACATCTTGAACACTTGTCATCACGACTGTTTATGTATATTCTTAGGTATGATTTAGTCATCACTATGTTTTGTAGCATTCTCCATGTTGTTTCCTTCCATTCAGCTGGAAGTTGATCTATGTTTTGCCATATTGTGTTCCAGTTTAAGTAGCTGTTTTGCATTGCTATGCTCATATGTTGCTTATGGATTTTCTTATAAATATCACTGGGGCGGGTTTTCCTATCTATGTTACATATTTGGTCATTGTTGTTTGTAATTTCAGCAATAACTTTTCTCCACTCTTTATATTTCTTATTGTTGTCAATAATAAAGGGCTTGTTAATCTGTAATTGTGTTATCTTCCTTGTGACGGGGCCGAGAATATACTGCGTAATGTCACTCAAAGGGTGGTCTTGTTTTTTCATGGAGTTAATCATATTAGCAATTTGTAGTGAGGTTTCTAGGTTTTTCAGATCCCAGTATTTCCAACCTCCTTCTGTTGTATTATTTCTCATAATTTTTCTACTTAAAGGTTCAAATGTATTTTGCCAAATAAATTGGTATATCTTTTTTTCTATAGCTTTAATATCTTCGTTTGATAGTCTAGTCACATATAGTGTGTACATAATTTTAGCTATTAATATTCTGTTTGCTATTATTGTACGCTCTGGTAAATAGAACCAATTAGTGCTCCAGTCTTTAATCCCCTCGTCAATCTTTTGTATCATATTTTCCAGATTTTTTTGTCTATTGTTTTTGCCGAACCAAACACCAAAAATTTTTATGTCATCAACTATCTCTATATCCATTATGTCACAAGTTAACTGGCTGTTGATACAGAAAAGTTTACTTTTTTTCTCATTAATTTTCATACCGGTAAGTGCTCTGAAGTTC